AAAAACCTTCCTATTGTTGAGTCACACTGCTCCGTTACTTAGCAACCCCAGCCGAGCTCCACCACATTTGGTCATCTGGTTTTACCACTGTATTCGCTGTACAATGGCTGCTGGAAAAGACAAGTGTTTTGTTGTTGATTTACTATCCAGAAACTACTTGGCGCATTTGTGTTGGTTGTGCAGGAGGCTCTACTTCTGCTGTTCAAAGCTGTATGGTTGCAGCCATTTTCGAATGTGAATGTAAATGTTGAATTGGAGCGGGTGAGGGGTGCACAGCTTATTTGGACTTAAAGCATAGTAGGTTACCTTTATATAACAAACAAATATACATCCAAAGCTATTACTAAGACTATGCTCCATTTCCCCAAGGACAGAAATATTTTCTATTGAACTTGAAGGACAGTTGGAGGAGGATGAACTTTGATTAAAAGTGATTTATTCTGCTTCCTGGAACAGGTTGGGATAGATATATGGGCTATAGAAAACCTGTTCATTACATTTTTGCAAAAAAATATTTTTAGATATTAGCTGCGCTTTTTATTAGACATTTCAAAAATAAAGTTGCTTAATGGAAACAAGCCAAATTGAAAAAAACAACAACTTGTGTTTGTGATAAAAGGTTTTGCTGCTTGGAGGAGGTCATCTGTTTGGCCATGCTGAAATTGGTTTATTTTGTAAAATGGAAACATTTTTTTCGCATCACGCAAGTCACATGATCAACTACTGGATGTTGCCGCTAAACACAAAGAAGAAGACAACAACAGGAAGTACTTAGTGGCATGATTTTTCCTCACATTTTGCCTGAACATTTCTAAGAATGGTTGTAAACGGCATCATGGAGAAGCAATGTTGTGATGACATGCTGAAGGAGGGTGTTGAAAAATTGACAGTGGCCAATTTCAAAGCATCAGATACGACTACGATATGAAGTCAAATTTCCTTAAAGTTATTTTTGATGTCCATAGCATTTTCATAACAACTGAAAATAAAATTATTTTATGATTGTGGTTTAAAATGGACTGTGCGCCCGGAAAATACATAAACCCCCATTAAAAGGGGAAATAGTCTATCTGCAGTTGTATAATTTTCTGTAACTGACTGAACTCTGCATAATTTAGTTACCTGAATAAATACCAATTACTTACAAGCTTCTCCCCATGATTCCCAGCTCTTTCCCTGGCGCAGCCCCAATTCAATCCTATAACAGGCAATGCATTCTGGGGATCCGGGAAAGCAATAATGCAAATTGAAACACTCACGATGTTAAAATTAACTTTATTAGATTTTTTTTTTTTTTATTAGATTTGGTGGCAGAAATAAACAGTTATGTTGCCTCAAGACCAAACAAGCAAACAGTTCATATTTACACACTGGTGTGCTGGTCTATCACTGGATTCCAACAGTTTGTGTTTGTAGAACAGGAACAAAAAGCGGTATGAATACTTTTGCAAGGCACCAAATGTGAGCGGCTGATTCTTCCGGACCTGGTTCTGTTTTAGCTGGATCTCTGTTATGGCCGACCTCCTCCTGGTCTCTTCATGGCTGCCATTTGCCGGATAGATCAAAGGTATTTTTAGCAGAGCTGAACATCTGCAGCGTCTCAATGATTTTTCAATGTCACTGCTACAAATCACTGTGAGATGGATCAGTGACGCAACGTCTCACTCATCCTGGCGAACGTCTTGATTCCACAGATGTAAAGGTGGCAGGAGACGCTTTGCTTCGTTTAAAACAAACTCACTGTGGAAGTTCTTCCTTCAAACTGGTTCCAGTGTTAAAAGGTTGAGTAGTAACTAGTTACATTTACTCAATTACATTTAATTGCACAACTTTTTTTTTTTTTTTTTTAAATGTACTTTTAGGAGCATTTTTACTATGTTGTATTTTTTTACTTTTACTTGAGTAATTTTATTATAAGGTATTTCTACTCTTAGTTGAGTAAAAGTTCTGGATTTTCTACCCACTGAATAAAAAACATGTTTTAACCAAAAACTCACCAGACACAGACCTGCAGTTTTTTGTTTTTCTTTAAGGTTTTGTTGGCTCTAGTGGCCTTTATTTGAAAGTAGTTTGACAGGAAGGAGGGTTATGAGAGAGGGGGAAGACATGCGGCAAGGCATCACCAGGTCAGGAATTGAACCTGCAACCACTGGCATGAGGACTAAGGCCTCCATACATGGGTTGTGCTTTGCCCCTGCACCACCACAGCACCCCACACACTTGCAGTTTAAAGATACACAAATTTTTCATAGAAAGAAACTGATTTGGAACGTTTTTTATTTTGCCTGTTTTTTTATTATTTATGTGAATTATTGTAATTTTTGTTAAAATACCAAAGTTTTCACTTAGCCTTATATTTTTATGTATTCTTTAATTATTAAACGATTGATCATTTGATCAGTTACTTAGTACTTGAGTAGACTTTTTACCAAATACTATTTATACTTTTACTTGACTAAAAATGTGTTGCAGTAGTGCTACTCTTAGTTGAGCACAATGTTTGGCTATTTGCCCACCTCAGTGCTAACCAACTCCATTGCTTGCTTGGTTCCGTTTTTTTCATTTCCATCGCCAAGCATTTAATCTAGTAGAACAAAACCGGCTTTATATTTTTTTAGCATCAACTAGTTGCCCCTTTCATGAGATGCATCAGACCAGCTCAGGGTTGAGGACAAAGTCTGAGGCTGAAGGGGAGAAATCATAGACCATCAGTAGCAATTAAACTGTTGTAAGTGATCTGTTTAAATATCTTAATAATAATAATAAAAAACTGAGATTCAGAATTATGTGGAAGTCTCTAGAATAATAAGAAGGCAATTACTATTATTAATTTACTTAATTTCTTGCATTGACTAAGAAAGAAAACAAGCTATACAACTTCAAATGTGAATTAGATACAGGATTAAAAAAAATTCAGGGTAGATCTTCATTTCAGATATTATGAAAGAACAAGAATGAGAAACTAAACATTTTGCCTGTGGCAGAATTAACTGGCTGAATAATTAAAGCAGTAAATAAAAGAATAAAACAATTAACTTGTTCAAAATCCAGATCAAAATGTTGTTGTCATGCTTAGTGAAGTCTGGGTGTAAACTGGAAGCCATTTACTGTTTATGTTTCTTTATGTGAATTTTGTCATGCAACATTATTAGACATTTGTATTTCCTGAAAAGTATTCTATCAGGAAATACTTAAAACTGCAGGTTTGCTTCAGACGCTTGCATCTGATTGGTCAACTTCCTTAGCAACTAAACTGCTGACCAATCACGTTTCCTCCCACAGTTTTAGCCCCTCCCATTGCCAGCAGATGAATAAAACAAATGTCAGGATGTGCTGCCACCCCTGACAATGAAAAAAGATAAACATTCAAATTATTCCATATGCTGTAATTAATACAGATTTGTACTTTCTCATTTAAATATTTCATTCTGCATTTGATAAATTACATTGAAAGTTTCTGTATTGTATTTCCATTTTTAATTAATCAAATATATATCCAATGAATGATTTAATAATGTATTCAGTTGTGAAACTAAATACTGAAACCCCAAAATAAATAAGTTAAAGAATGAATGGATGAGGCCTAGATTGACTTACTTTATTTAAACTTCTTTTTAAACCATAAATGACTTTTTAAGTGTAAAGTAATTCATATAAATGCATGGAGAAATACAGGAATCTTTATGCTGCTCTTTAATAGTTGACAACCAAAATAAACGGTATGAAACATATCACCATCTCTAATACTATATAACTATTTACCTAATTTCCAAATAGTCGACTTGTGTGTAATTGAATCTCATTACAAACTGTTTCATTGGTTTTTGGAGAACAAGCAGCATAATGAAGACGGGCAGGGAGAAACTTATGTTGAAGTTTAAACTTAGATTACATTATAACACAATATTCCAGCTTTGAATGCATCATCTAAACATGGAAAGAGGAAAGAATTGATTTGAAAAGCCGCCTAGAGGTCCATGGTAGCTCTGGAGGAGTTGCAGAGACAAACAACTCAGGTGGGAGAATCCGCAAATAATTATTGGTTGAAAACTTTGGAAAAAACGTTTCTGGAAGAAAGTCAAAAGAAATCTCCTTTGTGGTTTGTCAAAAACATAAAGTGAGATGTAAATTAAACTTTTGAAACTACAATTAGATGCTGTTTGTGGTGAAAAACAAACACTATGCCTAACCATTACCACTGGGAAATATGCTATTGGAGCCACAATGCAGCATCTGGGTAGGAATGGCCTACTCAAAGCCTGGATTTCAACAGATTTCTGTTCAATCACTCTTCATCCAACCTGACATAACCCAAGTCATTTTCTAGAACTTAGTCACTAGATGCAAGACTTTTGCACCAAACTATGGTTTTACAATTAAATGTCTCACTTTGAGTTTGGATTATTAGATTTAAACATTTTCTAATTTACACATATGCACTAATAAAAGTTAATTTATCACATGGAAACCCCATAATAATGCAAAAACGTTTGTGGTTCTAATATGACAAAATGGAAAAATCATTGCTAATCCCATTTAAAAAATTAGAAGAAACAACTTAAAATACAATTAATGTTTCATTTAAAGTTAAATTTTATTTTAAGACCACAAATGTCTGCAGTGAAATCCAATAAAATGATTTATTCACACAGAATCGAATGTTAACTGGAATCTGACCTCGGCATCCAACAGAGTCCATGTTTGGTTGACTAAACAATTAACAGTAACTTACCTTAATCCTCCAATTCCTGCTCAAATGCCGTTTCATTTGAATGTTCTCTGTGTGCAACGCTCTTTATGTTTCACACAACAAGCTGCTACGAGCTGGAAGCTGCTGGCCAAAATCTATAAAGCAGCAAGTTGGAAAATTGTCCTGTTGACATTTAGTAATAATGATGACGTCTGAAACTGAAGAAAAAAACCACGGCTGTGCATGTCTCTTACTGAGCTGCCATGACAAAATAAAGAGCCATCAAAATAAGCCTGCTGATGAAATAGTGTAAATTTAAATGACTTTTTAATAAGAATTATAGGCACCAGACACGTCTTAAAATCCTGTTAATGAAAGACTTTCCACACACATAGGAGAGAGCTGTGGACACCGAGTGAGCGAAGTGGTTTGATACCATAATAAATACGCACAATGAGCAACAACAGAGCCTTGAGGTGGAAACATAAAGAATATTTATGATAACAAAATGAGAGTAAACTTAAAAGGTCAATGTTTTAATTAGGTTTTTGTTGTCAACAAAGGTTCCTTCAGCCAACCTGAAGCTCACCCGTCAAAGCCGAGTTAATATTCTTACAGTATGTACAGATTCAACATGCGTCACGTTTATAGTCTTCCCCACTGTGTGTGTGTGTGTGGACATCTATCGATAGAGGTAATCGGCTTGTATGTTGGCAGCGATCTCAGCCTCCCATTTATCTCCATTGTTTAGCAGTTTCTCTTTGTTGTAGAGCAGCTCTTCGTGGGATTCAGTGGAAAACTCAAAGTTAGGACCCTGCAGAAGGAGAATGTTTGGGTTAAAAGGAAAATAAGGATTTTTATTCCACTTGGCTTGGCAGTAACACTTTTTGCTGCGAAAGTTTGGACTATTTTCAAACAAAATACTAGTGAACTGCTAATTTATTTTGATTCGAGTCAAATTGAAAGTAAAAAACAAATGCAAAATGCTCCTAAAAGAAGATTATATCTGAAAATACTAATTTTTTTGATGATTAAAACATTTTTATCTGAAAATAACATTTTTATTTTCAGTTCTTAAACCAGAGATATCACATTTTGGCTACCATAGTTAAAAATTTAGTAATTTAGTAGGTCATACTTGATCAATAGCAAAAGAAAAACATACATGTGTTTTAAATTACTAATGACTAATATTTTCCTTAAAATACAAAGCAAACTTTTGCTTATCAGGCCTTCCTGCAGCATTTTTCTTGGTCTGTTATTTGTTAGGGCTGCGACTAATGATTATTTTAGTGATCGATTATTCTGCAGACGTGTACACACCTCCACGATGGCGTCCACAGGACACGCCTCCTGGCAGAAGCCGCAGTAGATGCACTTGGTCATGTCGATGTCGTAGCGAGTCGTCCTCCTGCTGCCGTCGGCACGAGTCTCTGCTTCAATGGTGATGGCCTGGAAACGGGACAGGAACCAACAACACCGACTCAGATACTCAGATACCGTAAATATTGACATCCAAATATTGTGGGAATTTGCAGAAAGATGTTAGTAAAAGGTTTCATCAAAGAGGTCTATCTGAATTATCTAGATTGTTTTATATTACTGATATGTTTTCTTTTTGATCAGAATCATCCATCATTTTTACAAATCTGCTGACGCTTTCCATGTTAGCATAAAAATAACTTTCAAGATGCAATTTTTACCAAAACATAGAAAGGGAAGAACTACTTTTTGATATTCTCTCTTAACTAGACTGTACTTAAAGGCAATTTACTCCAACCTGAGACAGACAATGAAAGTAAACTGGAACTATAATTTACCGGATTTATACACTTTTGTCAAAGGAAAATTCAAGCACTTTTCAAGGATTTTTCAGGGAAGTTTTTATACTTTTCCAGCACCACACACGAGATAAAAACAATAAAAAATATTATTATTACTGTTAAATAAATTTTTATGTTAGTATTCTACATTCTACAGCAGGCACAATATAAACAAAAAACCCCCAAAACAAACAAACAAACAAAAAACCCCCCACTAATTTAACAAAAAATACCCCAAATCCAAAACCATTTCTCAATGTATAAGATGATCAATACGTCCTTAAGCCATTAGGAATAAGAAATATTCAAAACACTGAAATAAGCCAAACAAATTGTGTTTATTTAAATGACTTTCCTGCTCAGATCACAACCTAGAAAAAAACAAGTAATGTTCTTGCTAAGTTTTCTGGCATTTTGAAAATACAAATAATTTTAGTAACTTTAACCAACCTAAAACAAGAAAAGTTTAGTCTGATTTAACTTTGTACAGTGAGAAAAAAATGTGTGTCTCTTATTAAAGTATTATGAAAATATCTGGTTCCAACTGTAATGTTTTCCAGTTTTAGGCTTTTAATCAAACATTTACTTGCACTTTATTGCAAAACTGTTCAGTAAAGATTTGGAAATCAAGCACGTTCCAATCCTTGAAAACACCTGGTTGAAATTCAAACATTTTCCAGGATTTTAGTCACCCTGTATTAAGTTTGTCTGCTCTTGTGCGCTCACCTGGGCGGGACAAATGGCTTCACAAAGTTTGCAGGCAATGCAGCGCTCCTCTCCTGAGGGATACCTGTTAAAATTTATTGCAAAGAAAAGTGTAAAAATGCTGCCACTATTTTAAATAAGATTAAATACATCAATCAAAACAAATCCTATAAGCACTACAAAAAGTAGAGGGTATTTCTTTTGGAGATGTGAACTGGGAGCCAATCATCTTGCAGCTGCGTGGGACACAAGTTCTGCGTTTATCTGATCTCAGTGACAGAAAACTTTTAAATTCGTACTGATAAATCCTAAACTACGCAGAGGCTAAAATGATTAAAGCGCTAAAAAGGCTAAGCATCGCTACTGCATGTCTGTTTTTTTATATTTTCTCTAATATTTGAAGAAAAGCTAAATATATAACAGCTATTTTGTGAGGTTGAAGGATTTCCGACAAAAATCATCAACATGTAGTTCGTCCCAACCTGCGCAGAGCGTGTTCTCCTCTGAAGCGCGGCGACAGCGGTCCCTTTTCAAACGGGTAGTTAATGGTGGCAGGTTCTCTGAACAGGTAGCTCATCGTCATGCCCAGACCTGAAACCAAATCATTCACACCTGAGTACGAAACTTGTTTTCAAAAAGAAAAAAATGACAATCCTTTCACAGAGAAAAGAAACAACTCGCATATATTAATCTATTTTTAATAAAACGGCAAATATTGGCCCGATGATATATAAATCAATGAAGAGTTAGAATTGCATTATTTATTTGAGAAAATAAAATCAGTAGTTTAAATTAATCTGTGTAGATATAAAATGCAGCAGTAGCTGTGTTTCCATTGATGCAGCTAATGTCAGATTATGCAATCTGACATTTTCCAGATAAATCCCCTTAATGGTAACACACCAATTAAAAAAAATGTTTTCAGCTGAAAGGTTTTGGTGGTGGCATGAAGTGTTTTTTTTTCTTCTTTTTTACAGCCACATTGGAATTGGTTTATTTTTGCAAAACTGCAGTGGAAACACTTTTATTTTTGCATCACGAGTCACATGATCAACAATCTGATGTTGCCATCGGCGTAAACCATGAAGAAGACGACGGCCGGAAGTAGTTATAGGATGATGGCGCAGCTTGTTTTTTAATGACTTAATGTGTAAAGAAACTTATTCACATGTGATTTTAATTGTGGTTCTTATTTTAATGGAAACACAGAAATTGCAAAATTGTTTCTTTTTTGACATTAGCGGAATATTGACAAAGGTTTGTGCACATTTGTAATGGAAACGCAGCTACTGATGACCGTTTGCCTCTCATTTTTCTACAACTCCCTTAATCCACATCATGACCTCTGACCTCTGAAGAGCTCTGTCCACAGCAGCGTCTGTGCAGATCGGTCTGTGATGGACTTCATGTCTGTCGGCAGCTCCTGGGCGTTCACATACTCTGCAGACAATAAGATGCTCATTTATCTGACACACATCAGGATTTAGAAGAGTAGATACACTTTGAGTCCTAAACAATATGTATGTGTGTGTGTGCGTGCACGTGCGTCTGATAAAATGATATGAAAATGTGTTTAATGGTGCAATCGGTACTGAACTGGTACTTACTGAATCCATTCCTCTGGACTGAAACACTGAAGGACCTCACTTGGGCAGCTGCCAAAGTGCCTATGAATAAATGAAATAAATAAATTAAATAAATAAATAACTATCAACCTCATAATAAATTTATAAGATGTGAAGTTTCCCTAAAAGGCACTTGATAGCTGATTGAACATCAGTGTCCACTAAATAACATGGAGACAAACATATTTAAAACAGTTCTTACACTGCTTTAAATAAATAAAAACTTCTTTAATGCACACAATTTAACAGCTGCCACTTTATTTATGTAGTTATTTGTAAATATGACACACATGCACAACATGACACTGTACAATCACACAATCTAGCAGCTTTTCACAGTAAAATTAATCAGTATTCACTAACTCTTTTAGGTTAAATGCATCCATTTTTAACAGAAACTGTTTTAAATGAAGCCTTTAAATGAGCATTTTACAAAGTTAGAATGCTAAGAGGTACTTAAATGAAAATAAAAATGACTTATATGTTCAACAGATGACACAAAATGAACAATTTACTTACAGAGAAAAATCTACACACTCCTTTATTATTCAAAAACACACATAATAGACATAGCAGACAAAATAAGATCATTCAACAAGAGCAGACATGGTACCACAAATCTTCATTATCTGAAAATGTTAAACCAGGGAAGTGGAGAAAAAACAGGAAAACTGTGAAATTAAATTGGGATTTTACTTTCTTTCTTTTTTTAATATTTGCCTTATATAGTTGTTTCTGTTTTTGATAATTGCTTTTTAACTTAAACCAATAAATATTGCTGTAAAAACAGCATGAATTATATTAAAATGTTTTATTTACTTTGCGTTTTTATAGTCGCTTGTTGTTTCCCACTGTTTCAGAGTAACTCAGTGAAGCACTTTGGGCTACAATAATGTCTTTAAGTTAAATAAAGCTTTTTTTAATGTAATTGCTGCTCAGCTTAAGATAGAAAGCACCAGTAATTATTTTGTTAAAGGAGAATCTTTACAAAGAGCCTGAAGGAAGCACAATCAAACCAATATCCAATGGAAAATAAGATTCAAATCAGTTTAGGGAAAACTCTTACCTGTCCTTGAGACGGAGTAAAGATAACGAAAGGTTGCAGCCATCAGGACTTTAAAGCTGAAAGCAGAAGCAAAAGAATTAATACAATAAAGCATCATTAGAGTACGTTACAGCAAAATTAACATAATGTTGTATCACGTAGAATAACTGCACTATGACTCTATTACACCTGAAGTTTTGACATGTTTTTTCATATGCCCAAAAGAACAGCCAGACAGTAACAAGTCACCCACTGCTAAACAATCAAAAACTAACTGACTGATTAAAACCAGATGCAGTCTGAGATTCACAGCAAGTTTATTGAGAGCTGGAGAAACAGGCAGAGTTAAAGCAGGGAATCTACTGAGGCAGCATTGTTTCAAACTGCTGGGTGAGATTATTTTGGATTGGGTGCTTCCTATGGTGGATGTGCTCATCATTTAAAGCTACCATCAAGCAAGTGTTCACACTGGATAAAACTGCAGCTGTAACCAAACTGCGTGGCAGACTAGTTGGTAATGCTACCTGCCAGAAACACTTTAAAAAAACGAGGAAAAAGAAACAAAGACAACAGAAATTCTTGATTAACAGTTCAATGATGAGAGTAGGGCTAGAAAAAAAAACAATTTTTAAGATTTTAAATAAGACTAGAGGCTAACTAAAGCATCAGCAGACTTTCATTGTTGTGGAGCAAACATGTTATAAAACATGCATTCAGCAGCGGCATAACTAGAATCACTTTTATCATCAATGTTTTAATGTGTGGAATATCGCATAATAGCTTATCTGAAAAAATGTATCCGCTTTTACTGCCTTTTTGAGAAAGCGCTTTGTTAACAAGATGCTAACGTGGGATAATGTTGAAACAAATAATAATACAATATATTTTCAGCTAAATGTCACTTCCTGAGCTGTAAGAACAGATGCAAAGAGGCATTAAAAAAGTTTTTTTTAATATAAAATCTAAATATATCCATCCATTCAGTATTTGTGTGCTGAGTATCTTCAAAACGATTCTAAATAAGACTGTACCTTTAAGAGAAACATAAACTGGGTTAAGATGTGACTGTAAATACCAGGTTTCAAATCTTTTCGTGTAAAAATGGAAATATCAATACAGTTCAACCTAATTATTAAATGTTTCAGTAATTTCTAAACCTTCTGGGTTCTAACCTGTGCGGTTGTTGTTCTAAATTAGATAAAAATAAGAAGAAATATTATATTTCACAGCAATGAACCATCCTGATATACACATGTTACAGATTGCAGCATTATTTATCGAGCGACATCGCAAAATTTTGGTGGCAAGTACTATAATTTGCACAAGCAGACAGACATCACTAGTAGAAAACACATTTTTACTATCTAATACGAAATAATAACGCAAAGCTCTGGTAAATAATATCATACATACACTGAGTTTAAAATTCTCTATTTTCCACAATGCAACATGAATGTTGTCAGTAACAAACAGGTATTTTTACATTATTCTACACGTTTAGCAGAGCTACTGTGGAGACTAATGCTCTCATTGAGCCTCACGGTGACTCAATTCTGCACAGCACCGGACTAAATATTCACAAAGCTGAGTTTTATCCATGTCAATTACCTAATTTTCTGTGAATGAGCAGAGAAATGTCCGCGTCGGTGCAACTACGGCTGTCAAGGACGTCTGAATAAAGGTCGCTTCAAATAAATGAGGAATAAAAGTATCCTCTCAGCGCCAACCAAAAGCTAAAACCAAGGTTTGACACCGCTAAGAATGACTGCAGAAAAAAATTATATCTTATCACCTTTAAGCATTTCTAACTTACCGAAAAGTGACTACTAGCTACAAGAGGAGAGACGGCGAACACCGGAAGTTACACAACATGACCAGTTCCTCTGCAGCTGTGACTTACTTTGTAATGAATACCGCCACCTACTGGACGGCTGTATGAAAAACACAAATCAGTAAGTAAGTATGAAAAGTTGTTACTATATTTTCACAATAACTGTATGCGCATATTATTTTTGGCTTCCATGGAAATAACACGAATGCAAACATAACACTGGCAGATAAGCAAATTGTTAGTTATATTTGGCAATTTTCATATCCACAAATGTAAATTTTCATCATCTTCACCTATTTTTTTCTTTTTTTTTTAAAGTTTTGGTTAAAGAAATCGAACCTGTATTTGTGCACTATTTCCTAAAGTACAAACAAAAAAGCTGCAAACTTATATGGACATTATAGGTCATTGAATTGTTTTTCCTTTCTTTATGATTATGTCTGATTTCTGATTATGTTTTGGTTTTTCTTCCAATGCACTTACAGAAGGCTGTGCACACATTCTTTGTTCTGTTCCTTTTTTCTTTGTATTTATAAACAAACATTTTATCAATAAAAAAAGTAAGTAATTAAGCAAATCGATTTATCATTATTATTGTTATTATTATTTGTTTCTTATTTTCTTTTTAAAAGTACTTTAGGGGCTGCACTGTGTTTTATATAACAACAGGGCAGCAGCACTCTCCTGTTGATGACTTAAGGCAGAGCAGCACTTAAGGTACTTTAAAAAACTACTACTACTTATACTACTACTACTATAATAAATAATAATAATATACTACTACTACTACTACTAATAATACTACTACTACTACTACTACTACTACTACTACTACTAATAACTAATAATAATATACTACTACTACTACTAATAATAATACTACTACTACTACTACTACTACTACTACTACTAATAATAATAGTGCAATACTTATACTACTACTAATAAAAATAATAACTGTTTCATGAGGAACAGTAATAACTGTTCCTCATGAAAGTCAGAATTTGAGTCTTATTTGCTATCAGTTGTGTTTAATAATTGGTCAAAACAATACAACATGGTAAAATGTCATGCAGCTGATTTCACGAGAACCAAATAGAAATATGAATAAATAGTCCGAATGTTGTCTCTATCTCTAGATGTTTGAAAGCAGAAATGAAATTGTTTTACTGCTTTCTGCTACACAGCCAAACGTCTTACACAATACTAGTAAGACATGTTCACAGAAATGCCCAGGCATATGAAGAGTACACAAGCCTTGTTGCGTAAGTGCAATGGAGCGTGTGAAGTTTAATTGAATAGGTTTCTGATGACTCCTTCATCTGGGCTCTGTGAACACAATCACTTGTTATCGGTGCTGAAGCTCGAGGGCTCGCTGGACCAGTAAGCATCATTTTTACCGTATAAACCTGTTGGTAGAGTTATTAATTCACAGAACAATTAATCTTTTAAATGATCATTTTCCAAATTGTACTCTGTTCCTTTCCATTGTTGTGTTACATCTTTTTCTCATGAAATCTCTTAGTGTAACTTAATATGTAGGTGGGAAGCTGAACTCATCTGCGTTCTGTATTTCCTCTGTTCCAGTGAGTGACGGCTTGAATGGGACTCTGCTCCCTGAAAAGCGTTGGTCTGAGGAGGAGAAGTGGCTGCTGGTGGCTGTGTTGGGTGGAGAAATGATCGTGGGAGTTGTTGGAAACAGTGTGGTTCTGATCATCAAGGTCATGGTAAGATCGTCACAATATTGACTTCTTTTCAGTCTATGCATGGTTTTTATGGAGTCCTGATTTAACTCCAGACCTCAGTTATACTTAGGGAGGAAGTAACTAGTGACATTTACTCAATTACAGTAATTGAGTAACTTTTTTGAAAGGAAAAAAAAAACACTTTTAGGAATATTTTTACTATCCTGTACTTTTTACTTTTACTTGAGTAATTTTATTATGAAGTATTTCTACTCTTACTTGAGTACAATTTCTGGATTTTCTACCCAATGAATGAAAACAAACATGTTTTAACCAAATATTCACCAGACTCAGACACACCTGGAATTTTTGTTAAAGTTTTATACAATTTTATTGAAAGAAACTGATTTGGAAATATTTTATTTTGCCTGATTTTGTAATTTTTTTGTTCCTTATATGAATCATTTTTGTTATTTCCACTAAATTAAGTTGGATCACAGGTTTCTTTTTCCAGTGTATGTTATTCTATTCTATTTTACCGCTCGTAAAGGACTGTGTTTCACATTTTATTCAAAAATATGACGTGGTGTCTGTCCATTTGCTCCCTTTATGTTGTTGTTTTCAGTGCAGAGGTCAGTTCTGCTGCCATTACTGGCTTCCATTCATCAGTCTCACCATGTCAGATCTAGGTACCACTTTCAAGATTTCCAGTGAAACCATGTTTATGTCGCTTCACTTTACCGCTATATTTTTATGTGTACTTCCATGCTGTTTGACTGTACTAGTAGAAAGGTTCTTTTTAACATTAAATTATGATTTATAATCAGGATGTTCACTTCTGATCACGTCTGGATCCATGATGGCCGCCCTGACGGAGGGACAGAAGTCTCCATGGTGTGAAGTCGTCAGCTTGCTGAAGTTTGCCTTCATCACCTCATCCATAGGCAGCATAGGTACTCTGAGGAACTTAGCTTTTAAAACATTATTAAACCAATGAAATTAAAACTCTATGCACTGTTTATCAGTGGTTCATCATTGCATCTGATTGTTTAAATGATTTAGAGACAAATAGAAAAAAAATCTCATTTTGGAACTATGGTGGAGTCGAGGAGGAGAAACTGATCTCCAGAAACTGCAAAGAAAAGTTTAAGAAATGCTGCTTTAAATGCCGTTGCTGATATTTTTGCTCTGTTTACAGACACTTGCATGCTTTCCACTGAAAGAGCATGTTCTTTTCTTAAAGGTGCTCACATGAAGCTAAAGGTTTCTGATTTCCCTCTGAATCCAGAGGAAGTAACGAGCCAGTATTTGTTTTTTTATGCAGTTTTTTCCATTTTACTACAAGGTCAAAGTGTTAGATCTGCTGTGGGTATTTACCCAGGGCATTCTTTCTTTTTACTACACTTTGTGCAGGAAATTTTAATATATAATAATTTTATCTAATTGAATTTTAATGAATTTCACAGCCATCCTCAGTGCGCAGCGTCTGATTGGCACGTCGCCCACAGGAAGTGCTGTGTTTGGTTTCATGGCAGCAGCCTGTTTGACCTCCTGGGTAACGGGGTTGGTATTTGGGAGCATCCCTGTCATCTATGACTGGGTCAGGTTTGTACAGTAGTTGGCTCAGAAATGTAAGTCATTGTTCATTTATAAATATCAGAAATATTTTTCTGCACTTTCAGGTACGATCCTGCAGAGATGCTGTGCGCCGTTTTCTGGGAGAGCAGCTACTCGGACATGATGACCTACATCCTCTGTGCTTTCTCCATCTGCATCTTCCTTCCTTTCCTCCTCATGTTCATCTGCTCTGTGAGGATTGTTGTCAGCTGTCGCTCCAGCAACAGGTACGCCAGGTGAACAACGTCACACAACATCAGCAGGAAGGTTTACAGTTAATGGGTTTATCTTACATTACAGCAGCAGGAGAGAAGTTCATTCACACAGCAACAGCTACATGTTGAGTGACGCCAAAGGAAGCAATTAAAAAATGGCCTGAACAAAGTTTTAAATAAAAATAGTGACAGATAAAAACCAGCAGCAGAACGACTACAAACAGAAAAACAATCTGACATGTAGCGCCCTCTGTTGACAGTTTTCTATACTTCTCTGTACGGTAGACTGTCAACCGTACAGAGAATCTTTAATATCTGACAAATATCTTTAATGTTCTTCATTTTCAAATTTATTATTAGAATTGTAGATGATATACAGACACAAAATGGTACTGGGTTAGGGTTAGTGAAGAAGAATAGAACCGTGAAGTAGAAGACAAATGATAAAAGATTTTCAACTTATTTAAAAAGAATGGAAAGTGTGGTGTATAATTGTATACATATATACTTTGATTTTCCAAAATAAAGCGCTGTGCAACCAGCTGTCTTCAAAAATCTGATGAATACTGATTAGGCCATTCGTGTGCATGTTAATCTCAGGTTTTATCTGTTAACTGACTGAATAATCCTGAAATCACCAAATTTTCACTGCAAGCAGTTTAATGAAAGGCTGTGTGACGATTAAACCTCCTTTTTATTGTGTTTCTTGTTTGTCTCAGCGATGAAGACACAGATTTGTCCGAGGTGACCCCTCTGCTAGTGGCTTCTTACATCATCTGCTACACTCCCTTTTTTATGTCTGAGGTAAACACAAGCTGTTGCATCTACTAATGCAAAGCATGGAAAAAAGAAAGAAACCAAACGACTGTCTTCCGTGTAGAAGAATATCTTAGAAACTGTAGTTTTACTCCTGACATGTTTGTTTTTATGCTTTGCTCCATCCACCGTTCAGCTGATCCTGTTGGGTAGGACGGACCTGGCTCCGGCCCCTGATTGGTTGAGGACGCTGTCGTCAGTGATGTCATACCTGGACTGCTGTCTGAACCCTCTCATCTACTTTTTCCATCAGAGTTTTCGTGAGGCTGGTCTGGCCCTGCTGTGGACCAGAAAACCCAGGAAACCAGTGTTAGAGCCGGTCCTCACTGCCATCACTAGAACCGACTTCAGCCTGTGACACAGATCCTTTATAAATCAGGGACAGAGACGTTGAACAAAAACATATTTTATTAAAATCTACATGTACATCAAACAAAAAATGTCTTAGTTGCTGGAAATGTTCTTATTTCCTTTCCTCTTATTAAAGGATTATTCAAAATTCATATTTTGCATGATTTTCCTTTGGGTTTCTACTGCTTCTAAAAATAACCGAGACGATTTAAAAAGACACCTAGCTGGTTTTTGGAAATTAGTTATGACATGAAAATCCTTGAGAGGATTTGAAAATGTGTGATCTCACACTATGTCCATCAAATCTGGATGAGCCTGAAGGATTTTGCAAAGAGGAAAGGGAAGAACTTTCTGCTTATTTAATCTCATCATGGTTGTTCACTTCATTATGTTGTATTAGTCAAAATAAGCAGAGGAGTCTGAATCTCCACTGTTCTGAGTTAAAGTAGCCTATGTGGTAAAGGTTAACCTGTAGATGTTTCTACACAGGAAGTGAGAGTGCTCTCTGTTCCTCTGAACGGTTTCTGAAACCCCCAAACTCTGGGCACACATCGTATTTTTCATGATAGTCTGTCACAGACTCACAACATAAATGAAAAACAAAAGTAACAGATGCATGTCTTATTTAATCTTATCAGACGAAACGTCTGTGCAGAGTTCTTTGTGTTTATCAAGGCCAGTCTGTGAAAAATAAAGGCAACCGCAATGTTTTGAACTGCTGCCCCTTGACCACACAGGATGCTGCGCTCTCCGAAAACAAGGACGGGAGATGGAGGCTTTCTTCAAAATGACGTATCGCTAGCAAAGAGATGCACTGGAAATCAGCTCTAATTTTACTGTCAGATAAAGGATGAAGGTGCATACATTACAGCTCAACTTTTACTAACCTCATTGTTTATGTGTTGGTCATTATGGGAGCTACTCTGGAAAGCAAGAATTGGTGGAAAACCCTAGATAACTTTAAGCACTTTAAATTACAAAACCAGTTGTTTAAGATGAGCAGGTATTTGGTAAACAGGTGAATCAATTATAGTTAGCTTAGCTTAGCTTAGCTAGCATTTAGCTTCAATCTTAGCAGTTAGATAATGGATAATACATTTTTATGGACTATTTTATGCAGTGTTTTGGTGGAAGAGGGACAAACAATGCAAATTAAACAGACAAGTTCAAGTTACAAACTATCAGTGATCAAACTACTGATTGGAATGTAAAAACTAACTTATTTACAGGTTATGTTTTGCCATATCGCAGGGAATGTGAAAACTTTACTCGCAGATCCATTACATTCTTACATTCAGTCGAGCATCAGTACTGGGTCCAGTTCATCACAGACTTTGCTGTGGTAATTTGTGCTCTCAGGGTTTGTTTCTTAGATTCTTTTAACACAAAAACTGTAGTTCACCAAGCTTTGAATGCATGAACTGTCTCTGCTCCAGTGTGAGAACCAGCGAGTGTTGGGTTTCCATGCCGTTAGTTCATGGTTCATCCTCAGAACCTGATGTAGTCAACCAGAAGAAGAATCAAAACCAAGGCAATTCCTGCAGAAACGATCAGCCTGACGGTGGCTTCATTCTGACACCAGCTGCTGTTTTCTGAAGAACACAAACAAAATGGAGCAAGTAAAAAAAAAACTCCACTGGCAGATTATTTCAATTATAACTAGTAGTTTTCCATCAATATTAAGGAATTATTGACTGAAAACATACCTGTTAGTTAGTTTTGTCTTATTTCAAGTGTCCCAAGATTAAAATTGTTTCATAAGATTTTGTGTTTTTGCAGTGTGGAAGCTTTTCGGAGGCGTTGATTCACTGCTAAGTGTCAATCAGTTTCCAAAAACTGATTTCTATTTTATTGATGAATCTGGTTAGTAGCTAGCAGATGTGGACAGAGTACCCAAAGACTGTCCTCAATTAAGAGCTGCATTACTTTAACATACTTTTAATCAAGTATTAGGTAAAAGGTTTATTCAAGTACTGAGTAACTGAGCAAATGATCAATCATTTAATATTAAAATATTACATTACCAGATGGAACAAAATATAAAGCTAAGTGGAAATGTTGGTATTTTAAGGACCAAAATGACAATTTTTCCAAATAAGTTTCTTTCAATAAAAAAACTTTTAAAACTTTAACAAAAACTGCAACCCATTAAAAACAAAAACAATGTGTCTCACTGGTTAATTTGTGGTTAAAACATGTTTGTTTTTCATTCAGTGGGTAGAAAATCCAGAAATTTTACTCAAGTAAGAGTACAAATACTTGATAATAAAATTACTCAAGTAAAAATAAAAGGTACAGTGCAGTAAAAATACTTCTAAAAGTAAAGGTTTTCAAAAAAAGTTACTCAACTAGCTAGTAACCAACTCCAGTAGCCTCTGTAATTATTCAGTTCACTTAAGTCATTGAAAGGTTAGTGTTAAGAGAGGAGACTATAAACATCCATTATTTTTAACTATACCTGCATTTCCCAGCTGAACGTCCTTCGTAAGCAGTTTGGTGGTTTGCCTCTCTACAGGGTTTTCGGCCACACAGCTGTAGTCGTCTCCATCAGGGGCGTCTACCTCCAGAGAGAGCGTCAGCATAGTGGGCAGACTGGGACTGCTGGTTTGCTTCAGTCTCTCCGTCCCTCGGTACCAGGAGAGCTTCAGCTCCCTGCTGTTCTGGACTGAACACTCCACGGTGACTGAAGCAGAGCTGCTGTTAACGACAGATGACCTGACGGTAATGGACGGCGCAGGCAGGAAACCTGAGGAAAGAAACATGAGAAACGATGAGAGGACTCTGAGTTTATAAGTACAATTCCACTGACTAATTAAACTAGATCCAATGTTTATGCTAAACAATGGGAAGAGTCATGTTGTCACATTTAGAGTGAGAAGTTTTGGACATATAAGTAAATTTTAATATCCAGAATCAGTTTAAAAAAAAAAAAACTCAAAGAAAACATAACTGAATAAACTTAATATATGTAAAAACATTATTTTTATTTATAAATTGAGAAAATATCCACAAAAATGAATATATATTTAAATATTTGGTTGCAGAGGTTTTGTTCTGCAGGTGCTGCAGGTACAGTTGCTGTTTTGTTGAGGTTGCTGTAAAGCGACCAAAGGTCCCTACACTGACACTTCAAATTCAGAGGAAGTTTGTTACATCTGCTGGTTTGTAATAAATGAAATGTGAGCGATGCATCACTAAACCGCACACACAGAGCAGCTGCAACTGTGCCTCATTAGAACAAAAATCTATTTGTGGTTGATTTTGTTTGTGGCTCAGAAAAAAAAACTGAATAAATGAAGGATATTCTCTTTCTGTCACAAAGAAGCTTGTAAACAGCCATATGAAAATATACAACAGTTATAGTTGATAGAATGGGTTTCAGATTGAAATGTAATTAAAAAACAGAAAATCAGTCAATGAAAAAAGCTTAAACCTGCCTTAATAAATAAATAAATAAATAAATAAATAAATAAAAGTTCCTGGTAAGGGAAACAGTGCTATGCTCTCCTTCATCTGAGAAAAATGTCTAGCCTGTGACTTTTTACCCTGATAAATGCAGTGGAAACACTAGAAACAGTCCCTGAAATTTACCCTGGTGTCTTAAAAAGAGCCTTGAAGAGGGGAAACACCTGAATTATGGTTTCCCACAAAACCAATGTCTGGACAGAAGGAAATGTCTAATTCTTCATTTCTTTAAGTATTAATTTTGAGACAAAAGTACTAAGGAAATTTTACATCCATTTTTTAACACATTACTCTTAATGAAGGCGTAGCTGCTCATTTAGTAAAGATGTGTGATGATTATTATATGGTGATAAAAAGATGCTTCTACTCACTGTAGACAGTCAGATGGAAATCTCTGCTCAGGATTTTGCTGCTGATGGACTGGAACTGGTAAACGCCTGAGTCGCTGGTTTCCAGCTGTGAGACGGTCAGAGCTCCGGTGAGGCTGTCAAGAAGAAGTCTGGCTCTGAACTTCTCCTCATAGTCACATTTCACTTCTTTACGCAGGTTTGCTGATGCTATTCGGATGTTTGGGCTTTCAACTCCGAAGGTCCACACAACCCGGGCGTTGTGTTGGCTTTCTACCGGCTGCAGCGTGACATTCGTTCTCTCTCTTGCTTTTACAATTTTCTTTTCCTCTTTTGCACAAACGTAGCACAGCAGAACTGAAAGACAGAGGACATTTGTAAACTCCCTTTCAGTAGCAAATATCAAAACCAAAAAAGTATTTTTCAGACATGAAACATGCACCTGAATCAACTCTGAACAGTTACAATGAGATGAGACTGCCAGCTCAGTTTGGAATTTCATAAGAAAGCTTTTTATGAAATACTGCATCATACTGGTAACATGTACTGAGTTTGTGATAAAAAATGTTTTTACAGACTCTTTTCTCAATGATCCAGAGATGAGCTATCTGAATCTCAACTACAATTTGGCTCCTATTGATGTCCAAATTCAATTCAAATTAGAAAATACATTATTTTTTTGAAAAATACTAATTAAATCTGTTGTTCTAAATCAGCACACTGCAAAAACACAGAATTGTACCAAGTATTTTTGTCTAATTTTCAATGCTAACGACCAATTGCACTTAAAAGAAGACAAAATTAACTTACAATTAACTTCTCAGCAAGATATACTAGCTTGCTTAAAGTCAGTAATTCTTGAATATTGATGAAAAACATACAGTTTTTTATTGGGAGATTATTTCACTTATACTGTGGGAAAAATGACTTGTAATAAAATAATCTGCCAGTAGAACTGCTGCTTTTTTAAAATCAATATTCAAGATTTATTGACTTGAAACAAGGCCTTATATCTTGCTAAAAAGTTACTGGTAAGTTTTGTCTTATTTTAAATGTAATAAATTATTTGCTCTAGAAACTAAACAAAAATACTTTGTAATATTTGGTGTTTTTGCAGTGCAGAGGCTAAAATTTGTAACATAGAAAAATAAACTTTTCCAACTGTAAGAGTAAAATACATTGGTGGAGGAGATATGATGTCAAAGCTTCAACGCAGAAAACTGAGAGTCAAAAACTTGGAAGTTTCCACCACAAAAAAGAAAAAAAAACTGATTACAACCAAGATTTGGCATTTATGAGTAAAATCAAAGCAAAAACTAAAGGGAGAATTTCGTTTATTATTTAAAAAGTCACTTTAAGCATCTTTAAGAGTCTAGAAAACAACATAACTCGAGTGATTGTTACTGCGACATGACTACAGGAATCTGGTAAACAACGCTGTTCATTATGACTGTTCAGTTTTCATCGCCGCTGTTCAACTTCTCCAAATCAAAGGTTCAATAAAACAAAAATATTAGTTTTTACACAACATGTTGGCTCAGTCTTGTGAAGCGAAGGTCAGAAACTTCTCTTCTTTTTCTTTGAGACTCACCTAATGATGTTTCAACAAGATCAAATTTATTTAGAAAATGCAGATCTATCATGCGAGTTTTAGAATATCTTTATATAAATTAAAGCTAAACCTGATTGAACTGAAATTATGTCATTTCCTGTAGGAAATATGAAATATGAAACAGTTGTTTCATCCCACTCATTATGTAACCTCAGATTTTCACTACTTAATCTCTGTATGTTATTGTAGGTGTATATAAATATATATATTTAAATATGAGTCCTGTGCCTAAACACCACATTATAACTGAAAACAACAAACTCTCTGAGTGTCTCTACCTGTGAGGTAAATGATAGCAGACCTTACCTGCTGTGAGGTAAACTGAGCAGCATGTCACTGCTGAGCGCGCTGCCATTTCTGCTCCACCTGATGTTGTTCTGCATTGTAGTGAAACCGTCAGCATTGGTGCTGCTCATCAGAGCGAAAGCTGCAGAAACCAGGAAGGCGAAGCAGAGAGGAAACGCTGTTCACACATCGCTCCCTCATTTGAGCTTTTTTTTAGCTGAACAGGCATTGATTGGCTGACAGGCAGCATTTTAGTGTGTGTTTATGTTTTCAGCATAAGGTGGTAAATAATGGTCTGACCCTGAAAATACGCAAATCCTGTCATGTCAAAATTGTATTCTCTTTTTGGTTAATTCAACCTGCTGTATTTTTACTGCTCCATGTTTTCATCTGTTCATTTTCACATTTTGGTTATTTTCTTCTTCCATCGTCTTGTTTGTCAGACGCAGCCTCGTCTGCTTCTATTGCAACCTTTTGGTTCGGAGAATCCTCACCGATTAAACCTTTCAAGATTAGTTTAGGTCACATGTTACTTATGTTTTCAGTATTATTCTTTGCTTAGATGAATATTTAACATGGTAATTACACATGCAGTTATGGGTAACACACTATCAGCAGAACAAACGGCAAAAACATAAAATCTTACCAAGTATTTTTGGTCCAGTTTCCACTGCAAATGTCTCAGTACAATTAAAATACAACAAGACTAACTTAGAAGGAGCTTTTTAAAGACAATTATTCTTGACTATTTTCTTTTTTTAAATAAAAAAGTTAGTTACACTAACAGATTTTGTTCACTTATGATGTGGGAAAATGTTTTATCAGTGAAATGATCTGCAAGTACCAGTACTTTTTTAAATTAATTTTAAGGACATACTGACTTAGAAGAAGCTCCTGAAAACTTATTAAGTCTAATTTTAAGATACTTAGACGAGAAACTAGACAAAACTACTTAGTAAGTTTTGTCTAGTTTTTTGCAGTACATTTAAAGTGTTGTGAAAAAGTACTTCCATCCTTACAGATATCTATTTTAGTCCTGCAAGCATTTCAGATTATAAAACAAATTTCAAAATTAGTCCAAGATAACTTAATGAAATACAAAAAGCAATTACAAAACTACCTTATTTGTAGAGTTAAAAACTTCAAAATGATTGTTTTGCTACAGGTTTGCAAAAAACAACATGTTATGGCCTTATTTACCCATATTCAAGAGAAAATACTACAGACCACATACTTCTCCTCCAAAGAAGTTGCTGCATTGCTTTGCATCATTTTTGTGGTGAAAAATTAAATTGAGCATACGAGAAATAATCTGTCAACAAGACGACGCCCGAAGGAATGGGGTTCTTGAAAAACAGGAACCAGATCTCATTAGGGGACAGATCTCAGCAGCAGCTTCATTACAAAATGTTTTACGGCCCTGCAGTCACTACCAACTAAAGTCTAATGATTTAGTCCTGGATGTGTTTGTCCTTCATGTTAATCCCCGTCCACACACCCACTCCCCCACTGGGTCTGCCAGTCAATCCATTAGTTCTCATCAGGTCACACACCACTTTAATGGACACACACACACGCACACACACACACACACACGCACACACACACACACACACACACACACACACACACACACACAGCCTGAGCCAGACAGGAGTTAAAACCATAAAAGCAAAGGCTCCATTATTACCCATGTGTGTGCTAGTGGGTAGTGGTGTGTGTGACAGTATTATGACCAAACACACGTGTGTGTGTTCACCTTTTATCTGGCCCTATGTGTGTTCCCAGACCTGATGATCAAAAACATGCAGTGGTGTGCTGGTCAGCCAGGTGGTCTTCTCAGACCTGGGTGGTCTCAGGACTGGAGGTGAGTGTGGTGTGTGAGTGTGTGAGTGTGTGTGTGTGTGTGTGGTTATACTGGACATTTAATCAGTTATCAAAGTTTTTTCTGTCATTTGTTACATCAGTTTTATTTCCGTTGAGCGACAGGAACAGGAGAGAAGAATCTTTTCTGCGTTAATCCGTGGTTGCTGCCTCCTGCACAATAAGCTGGAAACCATCATATTCCCCACTTCTATAGTTTATGTATTTATCTGTTTATTTGACAGGCACAATGCACACAAACACAGGGCAGAACAAGTCTGTAACTGGTGCATTGCACCAAGAGTGTGTAGCTACAGCTAATAGGCCCTGGTTGGGTATTTCTAGGCATTCAAATATATACAATTTATAAATGACAGTAAGTATACATACGTTTTTCTGCCTACCTGCTCATGTGAGCAACCTTGCAACCTCCAAATTCATATAATAAAAAATATATACATTAAAATACTTACAACTTATAAATCTAGATGCAATAAAATACGTTTTCCTCCTTGCATATTCATAAACAGCTTTGCAGTGTCTAAATTTATATTAATATCATTGCACATCCTAACACATTCAGCCAACACTAAAAATTGAATATGATACTAATTCACTCCTACGCAGACTTTCTCATCCATTAAATCTGAGTGTTAAGAATGATCCCGTCTTTGATTTTCCTTCAGAGAGAGAGTTAACTTTTTAAGCTCAGGTTCAGCTTTTACATGCAGCGTTAAAAACTTCCTTATTGTTGTAGCTTTATATGAAAAAGTGATCTGAGCAAATGAGATTCTACAATTCTGTTTGATCCAATTTATTTATTTCAAACAAGTTTTTTAAAAACAAGAAATTAATTGTAAATAACTGGACATAGAGCATCAAAAATAATAACCAGCAATTTTTACAATCCAAAGAGCCCTCAGTCCAGATAATTAAAACTTATTTAGTGCCACAAACTTACATGATATTTTGAAAGACAGACTGCTCATCATTTTTGAAATTCAACTACTATTGATAATTTGTTGTCAACTTTAAAGAACCACATTTTTGTTCCTGTTCTTTGGTCTTAAAAGAAATAAAAACAGAATCACTTAACAAAAATAAGATGGATGTGTTTTTATCTGTGTGATGTTAATGTTTATTAAAAATGACGTAAAAAAAGCATAGTTTCCAACCTGACGACAAGAAAAATAGATCTAAAATAATATTACTGTTAATTTGGACATTTTAATGAAAAACTGTTAAAATAAACTTTATTATCCCAAAGGAACCATTTGTTTTCCAACCAAGAGAGAACAAAATGTGCAGAACAATTTAAAAACAAAAATGTGTATTTTTGATCAGATCTGTATTTAAAAACATCAGTTTATAATTTTTAGCCCACGTTATTGACAGCGAGCTGCAGGTTCAGACTGAAGTCTGCCCACCGAGCGCCAAGTTCATTTCATGGCCATCTTTCCTTCGAAGTTGTTAAAAAGTAGCTCATAAAAGTCCAGCCAAGATGGTTGGGCTCAAGCCATTAACTTGCTGTTGCTGTTTTTCTTTATTATTATTTATCTCATCAAGCTTTCTTGATGTGATACATGTGCTTTGCTGCGACATTGCAAAAGCTTGGGGTCCGGATGCTTCGCCCTCCAGACGGGATGAACAAACCTGCTGGAAACACATTCAGACCAACAGAAGAGACAAAACAACAAACCACCAGCTACCTCTGCAGCTCACGCTGGCTAATCCTCTGGATCGACAAACAGAAAGTTACCAAGTACGTTTACATTAAAGTTATTGTCAGGGCCGTTATGAAAGGGCTGTTTTCTTCATAGTTACACAGGAAAACAAATGAGATAATTTTAGAGAGAGTTCAACTTTCATTTCATTTGGACCTGAAAAACTACGGGAGACTTTTTGCACTTAGCAAGTCACTTTATGTTCTCACTGTTACATTCTCATGCTGCTATTAATAATTTTCAAACTTAATTATTTTTTGCAATGACTTTAAAGTGCAAAATTAACAATAAGCACAATGAGGTTTTAATTTTTTATCCCTTTTATTTTTATTTATCACTGGGGCAATTATGATAATTAAAAATATGTATGCTTTATAGAAAATATAATTATTCAAATGTACATACACTCAGTTTTATTTGACTGAGCAGAATAAACACATTGTAGGTATAAAAATTAAGAGACCACTTAAAATGATCAGTTTCTCTGATTTTACTCTTTAAAGGTTTATGTTTGAGTAAAATTAACTTTGTTCTTTTATTCTATGAACTACTGACAACATGTAATGAAATTACAAGCAAACATTTTGTATTTATTTGCAGAAAATGAGAAATGGTCAAAATAACGAAAAAGATGCAAAGAAAACAAGTTAATATTAATTTAGAAACAACAATACAAATGTTTTAACTTGGGAAAAGTTCAGAAATCAATATTTGAAGGAATAACCATGAAGTTTTCAAAAGGCTTCAGTGCAGTGGGTTCTTAGTTTTTTTTTCTTCCAGATCTTATTTAAAATAACAAAAAACAACTGAAATACTTAAATAGAAAAACATTTTGTATTTTGGTATGTATTTAGATGCAGTGGTTCTCCAGAAGTCCTTTATGGTGTTTGGTGTTTTTCACTAACAGCTCCCTAACACAGTGCTATACATTTATATTTTCTCAAAGTTGAGGAGATCTAGGAACATTTTCTATTGTTCAATAATACAATAGAAACAACAATTTCATTATTTCCGCACCCTCCCCAATCTTTCCTTCCTTTAAACTGCCTCTTAAGAATGTTTTATTGCTTCACAGACATAAATCTGTCAGGTTTGGAACAGTGTGACCCTCCAGCTGGTCAGATATTTGCATACAGAGTATAAAAAGCCTATTATTTGCTGAGTGCACTCAGTCCTTCGCAACTACAACTTTGCACATATCGATATCGCAGACACCAGCTTTTTTCAGTATATCGTGCGTCACATAAATGTAATATAATGACTCAAACAGAGCAAATCTCTAAACTTATTCAAAAAAGATAAATGACTACACATCCTGTCCTGGAGATAACTTTCTCAACATTTTAATTTTAAATTCTTAAAAAATTTAAATAGTGTAGGCTATTAAATGAACTCAGAAAATGATTCTGTTAAATATGTGTGTTGAAGCGCTTTTTACCTCTACCTGGTGCAGTTGTTCTTTTTGCCTCTGCCACTTCTGCAGCCAATCTCCTCCCGTGTGAAAACTGACCGAACTGGTACCTAAAACCACTTGGAGGC